ATTGTACAAAAAGTTTAATTAATTAATGGGGAAAGGCCACAAGTGTGGAGTTTGTCTGAAAGGACTTCAACCGATACTGAATCAAAAGCCCCCTTAATATCCAAGAAGACAGAAGCCATTTGATCTTTATTAGCAAAAGCCAACTGAATTTCAGTGGAAAGCAACGCGAGACAGTCGTTCGTTCCCTTGCCCCTACGGAATCCAAATTGAGTATCTGAGAGTAGGTGGTTGAACTCAACCCATTTGTCCAGGCGAAATGGATCATTTTCTCCAACAATTTTCGAATACACGATAACATCGCAATGGGACGATACGAATTGTGATCTGACGCGGGTTTTCCAGGCTTTTTAATGGCTATAACTCTCACCCGCCTCCAATCATCCGGAACAATATTGAGCTCCAGGAACTGACCAAACAAGTTCAACATGCGCCTCTTAGCGACGTCTGGGAGGTTCTTCAACAAGTTGAACTTGATTCTATCAGCCCCCGGAGCCGAATTGCCACACGAAAGGAGTGCGAGTGAGAGCTCCAGCATTGAAAAAGGCTGGCTGATCTCGTCTACCAAATTCGTCGTTTCGCGAGGAATCATCTGTGCCGGCACAGAATCAGGACATACTTTTCGCGCGAACTTGAGAATCCAACTATCGGAGTACTCCTCGCTCTCGTTGTTTGAAGACCGGTTACGCATCCTTCGCGCCGCATTCCAAAGCGTATTCATCGACGTTTCGCGCGATAATCCGTCCACGAATTGTCGCCAGTATCCGCGTTTCTTGGCTTTGATGAGGCTCTTGAGTTCGCGTTCAAGAGCCGAGTACACTTCGAAATGTACGGGTGTTCCACGTTTCCGGAAAAGCTTAAACGCGTCGGACTTTTTACGATAAACCTCAGTGCATTGCTGGTCCCACCAAGGGGAAGGAGGTTTCCTACGGAAAGACGTTCCTGGAACCGGCCGAGTTTGAGCTTGAAGCGCGCTGTCCAAGATCAGATTGGAGAGGAAGTTATATTCCTCCAACGGTGGAAGCCCTTCTACCGACGTTAGGGCATCTTCTATCACATTCTTGAACTTTGTCCAATCGATATTACGGGTAAGATCGTACGCGACGTTAACGGGTTCCGACGGATTGAACCCACTGGCAACTGAAACTTTGATCGGCAAGTGATCACTACCGTGGGGATCTTGGATCACATTCCACGTGCAATCCAACGATAATGAGTTAGAGCAAAGTGTGAGGTCTAATCTACTTTCATTCGAGGATGGGCCAGCCAAACTCCATTGTTAAGAATTGTCATATTAAAGCTGTCGCAGAGGTCATATATCAAAGTAGAACGGTTGTCATCATACAGTTCACCCCAGCCTGTACCGTGGGAATTCAAATCTCCCATAATCAACCGTGGAGCAGGAGGTACCGAACAGATATCTGAAAGTTGTTTGCGATTAACAACGGCTCTAGGAGGAATATAAAGAGAAGCAATACAAAGGCTCTTACCTTTAATAATAGCCTGACATGCAACAACTTCAATACCTGGAAATTGTGGAAGATTCACTCTATAGAAGGAATGGCACTTTTTGATCCCCAAAAGTACCCCTCCTCCACGCGCATCCTCACGATCCAGTCGAATAATGTTAAAATCATAAAAAGGAAGATCGATATATGAAGAGAGCCAAGTTTCACAAACAGCAAATGCATCACAATCATTATTGTGAATTAAAAACTTAAAAGAATCTAATTTAGGAATGAGACTTCGACAATTCCACTGTAGAATAGTGATCAAATCCCCGACCTCGTTTGGAAAATTATCCATCGAAGGAAATGATTGCTGCAATGAGGGGCCACTTCAATGTCAATTGCTTCAAGAGGGTCTTCACAGAAGGAAGCATTGCCAGAAAAATGCTTTTGAGAGGATCAGAAATATTGAGGTACTTGAGAATATCGTCCACAATTTTATCAAATGAGAACAACCCGGATGAAGAAGGGGCTTCTGTTCTTAAAAATGGGCCATCAGGGGTTTTTGATGTCCCCGGGAGAGATGGAAAATTCTGGTTATAATCAGTTCTGCGGAAACCAGGAGGAGTTGAAACTTCCTTTTTTCCATCACTCCTTGATTTGGGCAAGCTGATTTGGGGTTCCTTATCTGCAACTTTCCACGAACGGATGCGTTTTCGTTTCCGTGCAGAACCTTCCGGAAAACTGAAAGAAACTCCCTCCTCAGCCAAGTCAGAGTCAGACTCGTCATCAGACAAAACAGCAAAGTCTGGAACGCTCCTTAAGAGAGCGTTCTAGTTTCTCCCCGCGTTGTTTGTACGCCGGGCACGATGAGAGACCATGAGGAGTTCCCTTACAGTACACGCATTTTGGTGCAGTGACTGTGCAGGCGCCATCCTCGTGCTTCTCCCCGCATTTGGAACAGCGTGCCTTGCTGCCGCAGTGAGAGACCGTATGTCCCAACTGTTTGCAGTTTTGGCAGTTCATGACCCGAGGAACAAACAAACGCACAGGTAGCCGAAGTTTTCCCAACTCGATGTAGTGAGGAAGGGCTGAACCAGAAAAGGTCACCCGAAACGAGTCTGTGGGGGTAAAGCTCTTTTTACCCTCGCTGAAAGATACTGAGTTCAGCTTCTGGACTTCCAGTATCTCAACCGTGGGAAGCAAGGGGTTCTTGAAACGGCCAACCGCTTGCTTCGCCAAGATCTCGGGGGTCAGACTCGCTTCGGTGACCACACCTTCGATCTCCACATCACGAGCTGGGATGTACACTCTATACTCGAGTGTAAAGAGCTGGGAGGCAGCAATCTCGTTAGCTTGTTTCAGGTTAGAGACGACAACGCGAAGTTTATTACCTTCGAGATTTCAGTCACGGCCGAGAACCGCTTCGTCAGATCATTAGTAATTTGCATTACATTCAAAGGTTTCTTTTTGGGCTGAAAGTAAACAACCCATGGGCCAGTCGAGTCTTGTAGGTAGGCTCGCGATCGGGGGTTTATCTGTCCCTGTCCATTACCAGACTGAGATGACGAACCAGGGAAGGCATCATCTGTCTTCTGCGAAGAAACGCTCTACCACTGCAACGATAATCAAAATTACTCGGACACAATACACGAAGAAAAAAAAATACTAACACAGAAACACAAACTTAAAATTTAACAGATGGGAGAAAGAAAGATACAAGAACAAAAACTTATCTGATAATCCTATACTACTATCACCGAGCGTTAACACAGCAGCAGCGGAGCGACGCGCAGCTTTGATGATCTTCGATCCGCGTGTGCGGGCGGTCTTCGTTGGTGTGTGCTTGTATGAAGCTCGGCACTCAGCTGAACACACGATGATGGATGAGCGGTTTGAATGTGGAGGTAGATGCTGACACTCGATGACGATGATCCGTGTGCACAGGTATGCGTGACCACGCACCGATGGTGCGCAAAATGATTGGCGGATTGCCAATCGCAAAAACAATTTTCGACGATGCCGAAAACTCACTTTTTGATAAATTTATCCGGAATTATGCCAGGAATCACTAAGCGAGAAAAACTGATTATTTACGTCAGATAATAGCGAGAAAACTTCCAAATTAACGGAGCGCGAAACAAGTCGACCGTACTTCTTGCTAGGACGCGGTGGTGTGTGGGAAAATTGATGGCTGACGCCATTTCGGCATGCCAATTTTCGGCATCTGCACGTCGTCTTTGTTGCGAAAATATCCATATTGTAGAGTATTTTAAAGTTTTTCCCCCTTTTTCTGAAACCAGAAGCTGCCATCTTGAATTTAAAATGTCGCTGGACATCGATTTTCGGTCTCTATACGTCATCCCGATTCCGGAAATATACACATTGAAGGGTATTTAGCAGAATTTTCCACTTTTCTGGAACCGGAGGCTGCCATCTTGGATTTAAAAAAATGGCGCTGGACACCGATTTTCGGTCTCTAGACGTCATCCCGATTCCGAAAATATACATATTGAAGGTTAATTTCCCACTTTTTCTGAAACCGAAAGCCGCCATCTTGGATTTCAAATGGCGTTGAAAATCGATTTACGGGTTTTAGATGTCATCCTGATTCCGGACATACCCATATTGAAGGGTATTTAACAGTATTTCTCACTTTTTAAGCAAGCGGAAGCCAGCATATTGGATTTCAAAATGGCGTCAGATATCAATTTCTGGGATCTAGACAACACGCTGATTCCAAAAATACCCATATTGATGGGTATTCGACAGTATTTCCAACTTTTTATAAAACCGGAAGCTGCCATCTTGGATTCCAAGATGGTGTCGAACATCAATTTTCTGTATCTACCGGTCGTCCCCATTCCGAAAATACCCATAGACGAGTGCACGGATGGATTTGAGTTCACTCACTCGATAAATAGTGACACAACAGCGGGGCCCTGTTTACTAAAACTGAACACATATTATGTGTTTATTTTTAGTAAACAGGGCCCCGCTGTTGTGTCACTTTTTGTCGACTGAGTGAACTCAAATCCATCCGTGCACTCGTCTATATTGTAGGGTATTTGAGAAGTCTATACACTAACGATGAACCTTCATTTCAAACTGCTTGAAATATTTCACAAAATTCTGGCTGCATCCTGATGATTGCATCCTACTCTTACACGTGTTGTCAGTTTTTTTTTTTAATATTTTGCGATGAAATGTGAAAATGCGTGGCCTTATAGTTCAATTTACTTTGATGCAAAAACGCTTTCTCGATGTTTCATCTCTCATTCGGTGATATTTCTAATACGTAGACGTGTTAGGGCAAAAGTATCTTTTAGACTTGAACTCGAGTTAGCGGCCCTTAAAATGTCAGGTTGCCACGTAATTTCTCTTTCCTCATTGTACATAAATGGCAATATTATTGCAAAATGCATCTTTCGTACAGAGTTTTCCATCCCCGCTGTAGTTTACATCCTCAGAGGTAGTTCAAGAATTTTAGTTTAAAATAATTTCCTTGGCTACATCCATGCATTTACAGCATTTATTCCATTTCTTTACCAACAGACTCAACCCGGATATGGGGCTGCTGGAATGATGGTAAGTGTATTTTTCGAATTTACCATGAAGATTGAACGTGAATTGTTTTTCATTCAATACCATTTAGTTAATTGTTTGGAAATTGATGATGTTTTTGTTTGATTTTAAGTTTGTTTGAGTTGTTTTCTTGTTTTACTTCTATTTAAATTTCTCTACGGAGAATATTTACATTTTTTTACCAATCCTATGATGATATGGTTTTGTTTTTTTGCTGTAAAAAATGTCCTGCTTTATTGGTTTTGCCAAATAACAATCATGCTGAATACATCCCAGTGTGTTTTTCTTTTCTACCACCAGCCAAATCCTCGTAAAATTATGAACCATTACTTGATCCCAGCTAAGCGCAATTATGTAAACATTTCCCTTAAATAACCATTACAACTTTAATACCTTCTAAAAAGCACATTTATCCTCCGAGAAACTTGCCTCGCAAATCCCTGCGAACGACTGCCCATCCTCCTTTTGAGGCCACCACCGTAAGCTGCCTAGCTGCAAACTCCACCGGCGGAATAGTTTTGCCAAAAAGGTCTGCATCCTAATCTGCTTATATTCGAGCACAATCTTTCGACTCGGGAGCCTCATCCTCTTACTGATAAGGTTGCTCCTACTGCCTAGTCGTCTTCTTCGTAGTCGTCGTCGTCGTTGTCGTAGATGATAGCACCAATAAAAGCAAGAAGTTTGGGTTTGGCTTTCCGCACTTTACCAGCCGCCAACATATTTCGTATTTTATTGCTCATTCAACATTCCGAGATATCGCGTGCAGCCAGGCAGAGCATAGGGATCTACATATACATATCTTTATGTTGAGCAAAGCTTGTCTGAAAGCGCGGTGTGTTAATTTTGTACGCGCCCGGTTTGGGGATTGTGTTTGGAATTTTTTGAGCCAAGAATGCATTCCATAAGAACGGTCTCATGGTCCTTTTGCCCAGAGCGAGAAGGGAGCAAGCGTACCTTGAAGAAGTGCGATTGTTAGGGTTCGTGAATCCTGAAGGTCCTGCAACGTTCGCCAAAAGCGCTCCGAAATCCCTATCGTTGCGATGCCAATCGTTTTGAAACAAGCGATATCCTTCCTGGGAGACAGCTGCCAGCAGCCGACAAAGTGCTACTTGGTGAACGATGCTGTGTGCTCTGGCATAAGTAAGTCGTCCAAGCTGGTCGGGGAATTGCTTCTTTCAATAACGGCGTGGTGCGAGCGGGCCAGATTTAGGGTGGCTCTCCTTCGAACGCATCCGTTGTTTGCAAGCTCATAAGCTCATATTAAAATTAGTTAATCGAAATTGAATTTCAATCGGGATTATTCAAATTCGACTCTTCACCTAATAAACATTCCGATTGATCCGAGTCTGAAATCAAATGAACCCTACATAGTCGTCGTAGTCGTCGTCATCGTCGCTTTTTGCGCGCTCACTCTCTTGATTTCTCTAAAGCTTCCTCTTTATCTGGCATCATCTCGTGTCGGGATGGTCTTTTGGAGCTTGCCTTGCTCCTGAAAGAAGTAGGTATGACGACCCGCCGCCGTTGACAATGTACTTGGCGTCTTTCTCTCTCTCTCTCTTACACTGGCGAGCTTCCTATTCCCTAGGGACATTATGGCTGCTGGCCTCGTCGGTCTTTCCATGCTGCTGGATGCTGCCGAGTGCCGAGCAGATCTTTGATAGCGATGAGGAGAAATGGGAATGGTGCGTGAAATTTCCAGTCGCACTATGAATGTTGGAGCCAGGGACTCGCTTCATTGTCGTGCGTGACAGTCTGTTTGTATTCGTACCCTTATGCTCTACCGTCGTCTCTCTTACACAACACAAACGGTAGAACAACATTCGAGCAAAAAGAAATTTTTAAAATAACTATCATATGACATGTGTGATTTCGTTATAATTCCTCAATTTGGTGTAAATTATACCATTTTGATCATATATGTTATTACTAGGACATCGTTGCTTGCTATTTTTAGAATTCACACAAGAACAACATCAGCAGCTCTTATTATGAGAAAAACTAAAATACATACATTCGTAGCGGTCTTCGGTGACAGTGTCGTATGACAGAACCTGTCATATGACATTTTAGTTTGGTACTGTAATATGATAGCTTGTTTTGCAAGTGTCTGAAACAAAAGAAGTCGATTATCACAGAAAATGTGTCGACTACGGTGACCGCTTACCAGACTGGTTGGAACACCGAAAAGGTCTGCCAAAATGATGGAGTAAGCTGGGGGAAACCAGCGTTTAGTTGACGATGTTTAAAGTCCCAGAATCTCCAGTCTGGGGAAAAAATAATCTCTAAGGGGAAATAGGTCATTCGTTGAAAGAATAAACTCGCGTGTGAATCTAGCAAACAAATCTCACGCTTGAGATTCTCATGCATTTTTAGGCACTCACACTCACATCACCAAATAATCATCTCAAAAACCGGTCAAGCGTCAATTGATTGCATGCTTATGGAATAGACTGATGCCAAACACGCTCCACAGTGTTCAAACGGTTTCAAATCGGGTCCTGATTAGCCTCCGAAAGTTTAAACTCATTTGATAAGAAACTGACTTGGCACAAACCATTTGAAGTTTATATGGGAGCGAAAATTTCAAATTTTGCATCAGTCTATTATGCATGTTGTGTAAGTTTTCCATCCACTGATGCCTAAAAAAAAGAATAACATTGAATATCGCCAAAATATAAAGTAATGAATTTTTGAACCTGAAAATTCATCAGTGATTTTTGCGCAGTTGAATTTTGCCTGACAAAACTCATAGGCGAATGAGATTTAAATTTTGGAGATTTTCCGAACATTGGAAGCCAGATTTAAAAATCAACGGGAGGGGGCTCAATTTTTTTTTAATGATGAACGATTAGGCCAGAACGCTCTCAAGTAACATTATTGGTTTTATCATAGTGTTGAAGACCATGATCTAGACATAGTTGGTTAGTAATCTTTATTAAGGAGACTTTCTGCCGAACGCTGGTTCGTCTCCGGACACATCTAGACTTGAAGAATGCTTCAAAACCTCGATAAAACTAGCAATGTTACTTGGGTATACCCATATAAAGCCGAACGTGATAAGACCGAGGCCACAAGGTCAAATTAATCATTTTACCGAAATTGAAGCTTCTGTCAAACTACATAAGTACTTTTCAAGTCTGCGCCAGCAAATTACGATTAGCATTTTTTCTGTATTTTCCCGGAGTTAATAAAATGTTCCCGGTTGAGCAATATACATTTAAACTAAGCATAAAACCAAATACGATTGAACCTAAAGGATCGGTAGGTTGGATGACTCATTACAAATATAGCAGCCGCACCGGTGTCGTAGTGGTCAGCGTGACTTGCAAGCGACTTTATGGGAGTGAGACATATTTACATGTTTTCAACTATGTTAAATGTCTACTGATATTATCCAATGTATTTACGTTCCCGGCTCTTATTGCTGATGTTATTGCTCCAGCTTATGTGCTCTCATATCGCTTCCCATCATTCTCTGGGGGGAGCGGAAGGTCCGCACAAAAGCAGATAACCGAAAAGCGAAATGCAGCTCCCCACCTCACAGCTGAGCTCCGGATCTGAATCATCGACCCGAATGATTCACTGGGAGCTGTTCAGGATGACAGCTCTCGGATCCGTCCAGCTTTAATCCGTCGATTCTTCACGATTCTGCTCCGGAGCCGGATCTGAGCCCAGAATTGTGAGAGCTATTTTGCTGGAGAATTAACATCAGCATTAAAATCTGTATGTAGACTGAATTGCATAGCATGAGAAAAAGCGTCAATTCTATCATCGCGTGTGATATTGGTATAGATTTCTGGCATACATTTTTTGCCTTTACTGATATGGAAATTTTCCGTACATTTTAGTTTACGCGGTGGTTGTTCAGTTGGTGCGTTTGTGGCGTTTTCGTAGAGCAATGTTGTAAGCTACGGATTTATTGGCTTAGATTACTATTACTATTTTATGTAGTTTTAAGGTATAGCTTTATTGGTTTAGGCCAAAACCATTCATTTCTTGTACGATTTTGAATTTGTGTCAAAATTTTTCCATAATTTCAATGTGAGCTGAAAAGCTGTTAAAAAATCAGCTCCCCTTATTGAGCTGGACGGGTCTGATCCGCTCAGTCACCTCTAGTCAATACCTTAACCTTTTATCGTCAGGGAGGTAAACAAAGTCCTAGAGCGCTCATTTTTGACGTAGGACTACTTAAATTTCTATACTGGGGGTCACATAAAAAAAAAAATCAATATTCAGACATGTGACGAAAAATCCCAAACACGGGCGCAACGATAGAGCGCAAATCGAACAAACGACACATTGCGCTTGCTCACATGAGCGAGCTCAATGCTCGGTTGATCGCTCACCATTTCACCAATGAAAGGAAAGGAGAAGAAAAGCAGCGATAGTAAAAACGCTTGCCAAATCGTTTTCTTTGTCATTTGCTTTCGAGCAACGGACGGAAAAGCGTCGGACACGACGTATGAGTGGAACAGCACGTATCGCACCAATACGAAGACGACGCAAAGCACCAACATCGACCGGATGAAAGGTTTCCCACAATAGGAAACATGACTAGACCGCTGTCTTCCGATCGACATCGGACAATTTTAAAAACAACGAGGTATTTTCAGGGCCACCAATTCAAAAACGGAAAGAGTTAAGAACTAAATGATCAACATATTTGTTCCGACCACTAGCGGTCCTACGTCAAGCTTCCGTTCGTGCCCCTAGGCACAGATACTTCTACCTTTTTGCATGAGGATAGACCGTGTTTCAAAGTATCGATTGGCCAAATTTGAACGCTCAAGGACTAAGTTTACCTCCGAACGATCGTAAGTTAAGGTATTGACGAAGCCGTCATAAGCCCTATACACTCTTCTTGAGGTGTTTCGCTGTGAGATCCTTATTCTCGTTTCCACTTTGAAACTTTAAGTGCACAAATATCAGCTTCTACGACACGTACGTAAATACCACAATGAAACTGTTACTCCACGTTTGCTGTACTGCAGCATACATGAAGT